AAACTCTCCAGCGGCAGCCATTATTGTTGTCACCCAAGCGCGCATTGGTCACTTGGTTGATTATGTTACTGTTGGTCATCTGTCCATCATCGTATAAAGCCCGCCCTGACAATTTGATTGGATCGCCTGACAGTGGGCCAGACCGAACTTCCCCGAACTCAAACTTTGTGGGCGGGACTAAGTTCGGAATGGCACCCAGGCTAATAGTTTGCAATGCTGACAAACTAAAACTAATTCCATCCAAATTGAGCAAACTCAGTATTTGACAGTTTCGCATACCTAAAAGGAAATAAAAGCACATTAAATCCGACAACCTACTCAATGTTCAAGTGTAGCGTAGCTCAGCAGTGACTGTCCTTTCTGATCTCCTAAATATGACATATTATCTCATAATTATGAGATAAGATCTCATAATATTGATATCAGGATCTCATAAATATTGGATCGTTATCTCGCAAGTATGAGTTCTCATATCATGTTCAGACAACTTGACTCTCTTGTGCACATTTTGTGCACCGCTAACACATTGGAGAAGTGCATAAAATTAGCTGATCCTTACTGTGAAACATTTAATCGCACTGTGGTCAAGCTGCTGCATTTTACTTCAAAATGGGTGGTGCAAAAAAAAAAAAATCAATAAAGAAGCTGTGTTAAGAAAGTGGGAGGTCCTTTGTGTAACTTGGTAGGAATCTGGACAGAGCCTTTCCAGTGCTTCCTGTCACACACGCTTAACACTGGAAACATTTTGAAGATCACATACATCAAATTTCAAAAGGAAAAACTGGAAAAATTGGAGAATGTAAGGTTCTCGCCTGTTACATGCTTGTCTCTTGGCCCTGATGCATGTTCACCTGTCAAAGCAGACCACAGAGACATTTGACACAAAGCCAGCTGTTGACCTGTGGATGGAGACAGCTAATCGGAGGCTAAACCAAGGACAGGGAAATGCATGTGCTGCCACTTCCTCATTTAACACGCAGGAGTCTGATGCTCTGTTCGAAAACCTAGGATGCGTCCTTAGAAGGCCAGATTCAAAGGACGATTACTTCATAGCGTGGCGCCAAGGTCTGGTCGGATTCCAAGAGTCCTCGTTATGCGGCCTTAAAATGCGTCCTTCTTTTTGCCCGCTTTGAAGGACGGCTCTGATGTATCCTCGGTATTCTTGGTTTACCCAGGATTCATTGCAAGACCAAGCAAGCCGTGATTTGCTCCGTGATCAGAGGAAAGGTTACTTGGCGCCGAACAGTGGTGAAAATTGGAAGTTCAGTTTAATATGATAAAAGTATGTGAATAGTTCCGTCTGAAATGAATGAAAATAGTTGTTTTAATGGTTATTAAGTCAGATATGTAGCGGTAATGTTTGGTTTATCTAAAGGTTTTAATCTGTTACTGATTCTAATAGATTTGCAGAGTGGGACTATAAATCTGATAGGAGTTAAATTTTTTTTATTGCTGTTTTGCACAATATGCTTAACTAAGTATTTTTT